AGTTGCTGATCTCAACCTCCCTTTGTTTCTCTCCCTAGCGCTGGTTGGAGCCCTGGCCATGGGGATGATTTTCTTCTGCTCTCCTATTGTGAGTATCTTCACGGACCGGATTGGCTGCAGGACGACAGCAGCCTCAGGGGCAGCCATCGCTTTTATTGGACTGCTTTCCAGCTCTTTCACAAAGTAAGGCTGATACTTGCTTTAGGTGGTGTGTAACTTTCTGACATGCTTTTGTTTTTGACAAATCTCGGGTTAGTTTATTGCTGTCTTTTGGCAAGGATAAGGTATGTCACTAGAAGAGAGTGCTCTATCTGTGCTTGCCTCCGTCTACCTGCACACACTGAGATTCTGTCCAGGCTTAAGCCCCCTTCCTGAAGTTTTTCTTTATCTTTGGGCTTCTCACCACTGTGCAGTGGATCAACACTGCAGCAATCAATCCCACCAATGGTCAATTTATCATGTCTGCCTAGATGTGATAAATCAATCCCCAAGCACTCTCCCATCAACTCTGGTACTCCACCAGGATAAGAAGAGTAGCCAGAGTCAACGGGACAGCAGCCTCTGTCAATTGTACCGTGTGGAAGGCGCCGCGCTGAGTATGTCGACTTCAGCTACTCTATTTGAATAGTTCAATTTGCATAGGGTAGATTGACAGGAGAGGAGGGGGTAGTATAGACAAAGACTCATTCTTAACAAGATACAAACCTTAGCTTCAATTTCTTTAGTGCTCGGCAGTCCCCAAGATTTCTCTCCACAAATCTGTTCCTAGATCTTTCCTCTGTCAGAGATTCTCAACTTTTTATGCTTCTGAATTGGAATTTGAGACCTTCCTGAATTGGAATTTGAAGTTTGAGACTTTGCAGCATATTTACAGAACAGCTTTACACCGCACTTATGACATCAATGTTCACACTGTAAGCAGTGTGCTTGTGTGGCCACTTAGGCTGTGTCTACATTGGCAAGTTATTCTGGAAAATCAGCCGCTTTTCCGGAAAAACTTGCCAGCTGTCTACACTGGCCGCTTGAATTTCTGGAAAAGCACTGATGAGCTAATGTAAAATCATCAGTGCTTTTCCAGAAAAACTATGCTGCTCCCGTTCGGGCAAAAGTCTTTTTCCGGAAAACTGTTCCAGAAAAGGGCCAGTGTAGACAGCACAGTAGTGTTTTCTGCAAAAAAGCCCCAATTGTGAAAATGACGATCAGGGCTTTTTTGCGGAAAAGCGCGTCTAGATTGGCCACGGACGCTTTTCCGGAAAAAGTACTTTTCCGGAAAAGCGTCCTGCCAATCTAGATGCACTTTTCCGAAAATGCTTTTCATGAAAAACTTTTCCATGAAAAGCATTTCTGGAAATCATGCCAGTGTAGACGTAGCCCATGAGTTTCAAATGGCACTCAGCTGATTAGCAGAGTGCCCACATCTAGGTTTGTTGTTTCTGTTGGTGGTGCACATTTGCACATGCCTTGGTGCACATTAAAATGTATTCTGCACTTGATTGGAAAAAAATCCGCCTATCAATTGGAAAGATTAAAGGGAATATTGCCTGATGTACTGTCACAATCTCCATAAAAGGAACACTTTCATATTTTTTAAAATTTGACTATAGGTACTAAAAGAGAATTGGGGCACATCTGCACCACAGGGAAGATTGATGCTGCTGCAGTCAATCTTCCCTGGTTCCATTTACTGGGTCTAGTGAAGACGCGCTAAATTAAACTCAGAGGGCGCCCCCGTTGGCGCCAGTACTCCTGCTCCTCACAAGGAGTATGGGAAGCTGACGGAAGCATTTTCTCCCAATGATGTCCCAGGCAATTTAAGATATGTCGACTCCAGCTACATAATTAATGTAGCTGAAGTTGCACATCTTAGGTAAACCTTCCGTTCCAGTGTAGACCAGGCCTTAATGTTTTCACATCTTAGGTAAACCTTCTGTTCCAGTGTAGACCAGGCCTTAATGTTTAAAATCAAACCTGGCCCCAAGTATAGCTTAAAGTAAATTGCTTCCATTGGGGCATAATAAATGTGTAGGGATTAATCACCAGTCACAATGGAATCACAAACTGAGTTTGCATGGGGTTTTTAGCTATATGCAGTAGAAGGAAAATCAGAACTGTAAATGTGTTTTAAAGGAGAACTTATTAGTCCATTGGAATGTCTTTGTGCTTACAACATGTTGCCTTCTACAACACAGTATTATTAGTCATTTGTTCAGCACTTTTAAACTTCTGTGGATTGCTGTTACTGCACAGTTTCATTAACATTATAAATATGCTAATGGACTTTGATTGTACAGTATATTGTTTCAGCACCACAAATTTTCAGACCTGATATGTCATTTATGTATTGGAAAATAAAGAAGGGACTGTCAAGGTCTTAAAGGTCACCTATTCCTAACCTATCTCTTTAGTATCTAAGACTGAAAATTGGGGGGGGGGGATTGATTGTATAGATATAAACAATTTTTGAACTGGTTTGGTGTTAGTTTAAATTAAAACACTCAAAGAAGGTGACTTGTCTGTAACATTCCACTTCACCACTCCCTGAGGCTGTGTCCAGACTCAGGGGTTTTTTCGAAAAAAGTAGCCTTTTTTCGAAAAAACTTCACCTGCGTCTAGACTTAACATTCCACTTCACCACTCCCCGAGTGAGAACCCGGACAGGAGAGGGCAATGAAACTAACAGCTGGGGCTCACAGCAACTGCTTTAGTGCCCAACTCTGCAGTCTCCTTTCTGCTTTGGTATGGGAAATGGCTCAGAGGTTTCCCCAAGGAGACCCTGGAAGCAGACATTTTAAAAGAGGACAGAAATCTCTATGGGAAATTCTGCCACACTCTCTAATTTCATCTATGGGTCGTGTGGTGTTCAGGTAGGCATTGGATGTGTAAGTGGAGGCATGCATTGCTGGCTTCCTAAACAGAACCAGACAATGGAATCCAGGCACCACATATTGCCAAAAGTTCAGTTGCTGGTTGGTCCCAGATCAGGGCACAGAGGAATTTTGACCTGAATTTTACCCATTTGTTGATATTCCACAAATCCTGCCCATTTTTTAAGGGTTTTAAGGAAAAACAAAAAGGTTCTCCAAATCCTGCCCATAACTTGGTTTCCTCCTAGCATCCTCATATATGTGCACATACTTGTGTTGTGTGGAATCAGAACTACTTCATAGTGTGTCATAGGACCTACTCTAATAGAGATTTTCTCTAGGAGCATAAGTACCTTTGCTACCCAAAACTGCCTCATGGCAGCAAAGCTAGAACTTGCCTCCTCCTGCTCTAAAAGGATGTGCAGCTGCCTCTTGATGTGGGAAACACTGAAAGACCAGTCTACTGGAAATATTGTGTGTGTATTTATTTATTTTGTGCGTGTGTACAATATTTACAGTCTTTCAGTGTCTTCTTCCATGTCTTGTATAGCACCATGCACCTAGGGAGCCTCCCAATGATCTCATTTCATGTTTTAAAAAAAAATCAGTTTGAGATGAGCCAGGTGAGTGCTCTGTATAAGAGTCCATGGTGATGGACTAAATTGAACAGAAATGCAGCTGTGTCTAGCTTCAGAGAGATTACAGCATTTTGCCCCATCATCTCTTTTCCTCCCAAGTACTTCTTTAAAAGTTTTAGACTTTTTCCTTCACTTACAAAATATTTGTAAAAAGCAAAGCAAGTCTTCAGACGAAGCCACTTTTAGTTTGGGGGTTTTAAGGAAAAACAAAAAGGTTCTTTCCATGAGGAGCACTTCAAAGGTAAAATCCGTATTTCCTGCTTTCTCACTCATGATTTAAATTCTTTCATATATCTTGTAAGGATAAAATTAAAGCTTCCTACAGCTGTGTCACGGGGAGGGAACCCTTTTTATTGGACTGCCTTAGGCAAAGTCTGACAGAAGTCAGGGGAAGAGTGGCAAAGCAAAGCAGTTTCCATGTGTTCAATCAGGATTGTAAAGTCCAGTTCTGAAATGTGGAACTTCCAGATTCTACTCTTCATAACAATGTGATTTTTTTAAATATAGCCACACTGCACGGTTTCAAGTGACACGTGATATAGATTATTATCTGCACATATCAGTTACTATATTGAAGCTGTAGAAACACAGAAACCCAGCACTAAGCCTTCCACCCCCAAGCCAGCTCCGAGATCCTCCCCTTGTACCGCAGTCTCTTGCCCCAGCCTCCTCCCAGAGCCAGCACTCCATACTTCCTCCTGCACCCCAATACTCTACCTGAGATGAAAGCCCTCTTCTGCACTCAAACTCTCTCCCAGAGCTTGCATCCATACCCCTACCCTCTGTCCCAGATTCAGCTTGGAGCCCCTCCCACACTGCAAATACTTCAACCCCATCCCAGAGCCAGCACCCCTCACTGAACCCCAAGCCCCTGCCTCATCCTGGTCAAAGTGTAAGAGGGTATGGCATCCATCACTGCCTATAGCAGTGTCATTGTGGGCAGTGTCCTATGTTAGTTCTGAAGAAGGTGTTTAAAGACTCTAATGCACATACCTGTGGAGTTCTAGCTTGGTTTTAATTTTGTTTTGGTTCTCAAAGCAGAGAGGAGAATCAGGATTCAGTTGATTTTATAAATCCAATTCATACCTCCCCTTTTGCAGGTTTTTGTTATCTGTGTGGAAAGAGGAGCCATTCCTCTTCCCTTTACCTGCCCTAGGGAATAAATGTACCAGTCACTTGCTGAAATTTTTCTGCAATAAGTTTTAATTCTGTGATGTGTCTGTCAAGCTGTACAAGAGGGAAGAAGAGAAGACAGTCCTCACAATCAGATCGTAACGAGGGACAGGCAGATGGATAGGATCAGAGAGGTATTTATTCAAACCTTGGTCCATGCCTTGAGCCAGAACTTGCTAATATTTAAGGAACATTGTGTTCCCTTCTTTTTTGTCCTCCCCCATATCGATGGATTTCTACATTTTCTCCTTCCTTCCAATGAAATATCAGAGCTGACACAAGAATTTCAACATTAGGGATAGGCTTGGCCCTCAACTAGCGTCCCAGTTCTGAATACCTATGAATGTGATGGCAATTCAGCCATCCAAATTTTACAAGTGCCCCTACCTGAACTCATCTAAAATGCCAAATCCAAATATCCCTGAATTGTAAGGTGTTTGCTGCTTGAGTCTATTTGTGTCCAGGGCCACATACTCATGAAATCTTGGAAATTCTCATGAAAACTGTTAAATAAACAGTGATTTAAAAGAAAAGCTTTGTGTGGTTGTCTTAATTGCCGAATTTTCTTCCCTGTTCTAGCCCAGTAGCCTGGCATACCTTGTGGCAGCAAGAGTAGTGGAGACTTTCAATTATGTCTTTCAACAAGTATTGTTACACTATTAATTAGTGGGAGGCTGCTGCAGCTCTAATGGACTCTCAAGACAAGATAAACATCAGCTGTGTTTTAATCTTTTTTTATTCAATCGCAGCTGGATTTTTTTAAAGCAAAGGCAGGAAACAATCGAATGAGAAACATTTAATATTCCAGTGAGGCTTTCCTTTCTCTTCCATATACTGTATCAGGCCTCACCTGCAAATGCTTCTGTCCCTAATTTCTGCCCTTCTATGGGCTGTTTGGTTTGGAGGTTTTCTGGAAGGGACCAAGTTCCCTACAGAGAGAATCCTTTTTCTATAAAACCTGTATCTCTTCTCTTCCCCTTAGGCTTCTACGTTTCAGTCATCCTTCTTGTACAGGGGGTGGGTTGTCAACATTACATCATTGCTGTATCAGACAGGAAGATCTCTCCTGGGCCATGTGAACAGCTTTCTTTACACAGTACTGCTGCATTGCTCTCAGCCCAGGGAATGAGCCTTCAATTAACACCCAGATGTGTTGCCCAGGAGCACTTCATTCCCACCAGGGTCACCAGCCTTTCCCCTCCTGTCCCCTTCATCCACTACCTAGTGTGTGCATTGTGAAATATTCATGCAATGTCTGCATCAAAGTCTTTCATCACCAGTGTTTTCTCCTCTACTTGTGTGCTTTAGAAATGGAATTTTTGCTTTATGCTCTTAATGTTCCCTTTCATCATAAATATTAATAATCCAGTGAGCGATTATATCATGGTTGACGGGTTTTATTTTAGAGGATTTTTTTTTACTGTTGCTATGGTAACTGCAGAGTATTTTCTTTAGTGCTTCCAATTTTTTTGTCAAGAAATGGGATTCTCTCTTGCTTTCTGTGGCTGCTGCTTTTCTTTCTAAAATGTTTTCTTATTGGGTCATTAGGCAGGTTTCTGACACAGGGTGAATGCAAGTGTCATATGTTGTCATTGGTGTATCCTCTTGGTAATATCATTTTTCCATTAGTGCCTTCCATCCCAAAGGACCCCAGAAGCACACACTGTACCTTCCAAGAACCACCTGCAGAGCCAGACTCTTCTCTGCAGGAATAGAAATAGTCTTTGGCACCAAAATTCCAATCCTCAACCACATGAGCTAAAGAAGAACACTTTCAGTTGGGAGCCTGGGGCAATCACTAGAGAGAGGTTATTGTAAATACGAAGCTGGTAAAATATACACCACCACTAAAATGCAACCACTTCTGAGGAAGATAAAAGCCAGCTTACTGCAAGGAGTTGGAAAGGAAAGTCCTGGACAAGGATCCCGAGACAAGCCCCTGCTCTTACAAATCATTCCACGGGATATTTTAATACCTGTGCAGAATCTGTGGTTTTTACGTCTCCATTCCTTCCAAACACACAGCTTGCTCCAGAGCTGGAAACCATTTTATCTTCGCTAAGACTGCCAGCAATGGATAATTTTGGGTTATAAGAGTGATAGGGAAACCAGATATTCTTCTAATGTCTGTATTCCACTTTAAATGGCTCAGTCTCAGACTGCAGCAGTATTTATGTGTTTTGTCAGAGCTTTTCCCTGAAACAGTTGTGTGAAAGGTTATGGAACAGCTATGAAATTCTTGGTCATCAGTGCACCCTATTTCTCCTGAGGTTTCTCTGATGCGGTTTGGTTTTGGAGGAGCTTGTTTGGTTTTTGTGAACGGTGGGTGGTTTGTCTTTGGGTAAGTTAGTACAGTATAACAGTCCACATTCCGCTGCCGTAGCTGAGGAGACTGACTTGTAATGGAATTCATGATATTTTTGTAAACATTTTCTCATTTCCTGTTGTTCGCTTTTCTTCTGCGCAGGAGTCACCTCACCTGCTTTATCACTAGCAATTGAAGTTTTAAAAAATGTAATAAACGTTCATCCCAGAATATCTCAAAGGAAGTGACACACAGTCTGTTGAGCAGTCATTTCATTCTCTACTAATGTGTAGCCACCTCTGGAGAGGGTTACAAGCAGCTGTTTAATAGCACAAAATAAAACTTCAGGACAGAACTGAAGAAAACAATATTCAGTTGAAATTACCAGGGGATTTTAGAGAAGCAAAACGTAATTACCAAACTGGTATTTGAGCAGTAGTGCTCATATTCTGTTCTTGAAGCAAGTGCCAGAAATTATTTAACCACGCAAGGTCAGGGCCTCCTATTTTTAAAATGGGGCTGGTTGAAAATTTTCAATTGAAACTGGATTTTCTTTATGGAAAACTGAAATTTTTTTGCAAAGTTTCTACTTTTCACACACAAAATATTTTTTTTAAATATAAAAAACAGATGCCTGAAAACCATGATATTCCAATTCAGATATGCTGCCACAGTGCCTCGAGGGAGTTGTAATTCAGTTGCTTCACGGAACCATTCTCCCTCAAAGCCAGACTTCATTTCCCATGAGATATAATGGGCTGGCGGTAAAACGGAGATAAACTTTGCTTTGTCTATCTGGATTATAAACTCTTCATGGCAGCTCTGTTCCCATGTATCTGTATTATGCCCAGCACAAAATGAGTCGTGATCTTGAATGGAGACTAATTTTACTCTGTTGGAATATAAGCAATACACAGTTTTATCCTTTGCGGTTTTAACCAGGGTGTCTTTTTTATTGTTGTTGTTTTTTCCCTCCAATAGGTCCCTTGAAGTCCGCTATTTCACCTATGGAATCCTCTTTGGATGTGGCAGTTCCTTTGCTTTCCAGCCCTCCCTGGTTATCCTCGGCCACTACTTCAAACGCCGTCTAGGCTTGGCGAATGGCATCGTGGCTGGAGGGAGCTGCCTCTTCTCAATGTCCCTTCCCTTCTTTTTGAAAACAATCGGGAGCACCATTGGGCTAGCTCACACTTTCCAAGTCCTCAGCGCCTTCATGTTCATCCAGATTCTCTTGTCTCTGACTTTCCGGCCCATCTTGCCGCCTTCTTGTGACTCTCACCATGATAGACAAGACAAACTGGGCAGTCGGAGCATGAAACAGCAGTGCTGGTCTCAGATGCGGAAATATTTCAACATGAGGGTTTTCCAGAGAAAGACATACCGAATTTGGGCTTTTGGCATTGCTACAGCCGTCCTGGGATACTTTGTACCTTACGTGCATCTGGTGAGAACGTTCTAGGGGAGATAGAGGTGACCGCATGCGGGGAGGGGAGAATGACTTGTATCGCTCTCTTTTTGTAGCTGGTCTCTTCCTCATATCTTGGCTATGCTCTGAATGCTTTTGATGGGCTCCAGCAGGAGCTTTTTCTCTAGCTTTTTCTTAGCAGGAAGGTGCATCACCAAAATGTGTGGGAGATGCAAGGGAGTGAGGGCAGAGCCTAAGGATATGGCTTCTTCCTAGAGATTCTAAGGTGGTGGTACAATCCACAACTCAGATGGATGGCTTGTTAATCCCATGAAGTATGAACAATCACCCCCAAGCATGTTTCCAGATAAAAAGTCCCATTAATTAAAGTGCCATCATTGCTTATAGTGCTTCACAAAGCCGCTGATGGTTCCTGATCCCTGCTACAGAGAGCTTTCGCCTGACTTTAGGGAACTCCAATAGATGACTTAAAATGGAGCAGGAGCTCAGGCCTGGGGATCTAGGGGGAGGCTTTATGGGTGAGAAGGTCAGCACAGGAAGACTTTGTAGAAGAAATGGGTTATGTGGAGGGATTTAGAGGAGTGGGAGAACATATGAGAAGTGGCATGATTGTTCAAACATGGGAGGGATTGGCCATGCTGAGAACTGAGGGGCTGAAATAGCAGGAAGGTGAGAGGTGAAGGAGGACACAGGATGAGAAGAAAACAGGAACTGATGGAGCTGCAGAGCATGTTGATGACGAGAGGGTAGAATGTGATGCAGAAGCTTTTCGGTGAACAGAAAAAGCAAGAGGAAGGAACCAGCTTTGGAGTGTTTCACTAATGGAACATTCTGATTGGCTGAGCTTCCCCATGGAATTCATCTGTATAGTAAGTCATGGCAGGCAGGATAATTGCCAGGGCCACGGGAGGTGTGAGGCTGCCTTCACTTAACCCCTTCACTGCTGAGGTTAGAGCACTTGCTGCAGTTTATAAAAATAGGTTATTATCAAACTGACACATCTGGCTCAAGCAGACAACCATTCTAGGACATGTAAGAGCCACCATGTAATTCATAACTTAGGATCATGCTGGGGCCTTTGTGGAACTGATGCCATAACAAGTGGTGAGGAAAATAGGTCTGTGCAGTTACTGAACATTACTGTTGAGGTGGGCAGTTGTGGTACTGCGTTACGTAAGGGCTGCCATTATGTATGGTTCAGCGTTCTACAGTCGTTCTCTAACACCAATTAGTCCCCTGAGGGGAATTCTATACATGATTATAATTAGTACCTAAAAATAGATATTCCTCTTAGAAATTCCTGTTTTAATGAACGACTGTCCCAGACAGTCCATTTTTGGTGTGTACAATGAATAAGTTTATAGAGAATTAATGTCCTTATTTTCCACACTAGGTAAAGTATGTGGAGGAGGAGTTTAAGGAAAACAAAAAGGAATGGGTTCTCTTGGTTTGTCTTGGAGCCACGTCGGGGCTCGGACGGTTGGTTTCTGGCCGGATTGGAGACTGCATTCCTGGATTGAAAAAGATTTTCTTGCAGGTATGCTGTGCCTGTTCCTCACAAAAGTGCATGCTAAGAGTGACAGTTTTACTACCATGGGATGATTTGTCTTTACAAATATCAGTACTCTGGACATAACACCTTTCATCAGTGATCTCAGAGTGATTTACAAACAATTAAACCTCCCAACCTCTTGAGAGATAGCAAAATATTATTAAATCCATTTTACAGAAGGGTTAGATGAGGCATAGAGAAGTTACATGATTTACTCAAGATATTGCAGCACCTCTCTGACAGACCTAGGACTAGAACTCAGAAAACCTGGCACTCTCTGGTCCAGCAACGTCTGTGGCCCTGCATGATGTGAGCAGACAGCTGAAATCAAGTGGTTGATCCATTAGATAGCCCTTCTTCAAAGGTCCTTCTCAAAGTTTGGATCTAGTGGCTCTCCAAGGAAAAACAGGATCTCATAGCATTATTGGGTTGACAGTAGAAGGTATCACTAGTGTTCTGTATTCCTTTTCATAATTAAAACAAAACCCAATAACCCTGGTTTTGATAGTGAAGGACTTGTCTGCACAGTGTGACAATGTGCACCACAGGGGTGTGATTTCTATAGTGCTACACGGGTGTGATTTTTTATAGTGTTGAGTGCTAATTGGTTTGTGGAGATCCTGCTGGTGCTCACTTAGAGTCCTTACTGCTCTTTAAAAAGCACTGTCAGCATGATCTCCATGGACCCAATTAGTGCACAACACACTAGAACACTTTAGAAATCACACTTCTGTAGTGTGCACTTCCACACTGTGTAGATAAGCGCTGTAAATGACTATGAGCTGTTGCTAGGTTTGCCTTCACCGTACTTCACTGGTTCTTTGGGATAACTAGAGTACAAGAGATCATACACAAAAGTATATTCTCCTCTTTCAGGGTCAGATTCGGCCTTGGTCTAAGAGGAGCAATTCCCTTGATTTCAAAGGTGTTGCTCCCACTTGTACTTCGGCAGAACTGAGCCCATCGAAGCAGCATGGGCTAGTCACAAAATGAATGAGGTGCCTAAATCCCACAAACAGGCCCAAATGGTAATCATTAAACCCCCACTCAGCTGCCACTGAATCCTGTAGGCACCTGAACTTTCTTGGCATCTGAAATTGTGCAGTAAAAGCGCCCTGAGCCCCTGTGTTTCTGTCTCTGCCTATATGTGTTACAGAGCAGTGCACGAACTGAGGGGAGGGAGGCATTCCTCACCTGTTTCACATGCAGGGCCCAATCTAACGTGTATGTGCAGAGCCCGCTTACCCAATCAGGCCCCTGTAGGCAAACTCACACAAAAGAGCACGGGGATGTCCCTGCAGCTCTTGAACTTCCATTAGGAAGACATGATTTTGTCATCAGTCACAGTTATCTTAGTAATGCTTCTACTTGGCCTCTCCAGGTTGCCTCCTTTATGCTTCTGGGCCTCATGTGCATGATGATCCCTCAATGCCAAGCGTTTGAGGGCGTCATTGTCGTCTGCCTGTTTCTCGGACTTTGTGATGGATTCTTTATTACCATCATGGCCCCCATAGCCTTTGAGCTGGTTGGACCCATGCAAGCTTCTCAAGCCATTGGCTATCTCCTGGGACTTATGGCCATTCCAATGACAGCTGGCCCACCAATAGCAGGTCAGTAGCACCACCAGATGGTAGGGCCCCAGGATTTAGTTAGAATTCTATCTTAAGTTCTGCATTAAATTATTGAAGGGGGGAGGGATGTTGCAGTGTTAGAGGAGTAGGGTTGTCACCTTCACCTGTTGTATGATGCAGTTTTTTACATTTATTGGATTCTGTATCCACTTTGATTTTGGCTGAAATACATCTACAATTAATCCTTTTTTTTTTCTATTATTGGATTGTCAACGGTTTTCACATCTGGCAGCTGAATAATTGAAAAAAAAATAGCAGAGGATGATTTGTTTGAATGCAATTGAATCACTAACTTTCTGAGCACAAGAGAGATTTGAACAATGCAAATTAATAACAAAATTGACCATTGTTAGTAAACTTTCCAGTAACCTGGCAGAGAGCTGGACTTAGAGTTTTGTATGTAACACTTGTAATCTGCTCTAATACCAAAATTTAGGATTGGAGTTTGCCTGCCTTCCATTAAGTCAATCATGAAGATTGTATAGTTGGGTCCTGATCCTAGAAAGAGTTGGACACATGTTTAAGCAAGGTCTTAAATTGATGAATGTGTTTAAGACTTCTGCAGGGCAGGCCATTGAACAAGAAGAGCTTCTGGAGTTGTACTAGCTAAAATAAAATAAATAATATGAACACTGTCAGTTCGTAGGCTACTGCGCATAAACTGATTATCGTCTCATGTCGGGCAGAAACCACAAGCTACTGCAGAATTATAAGCCTTATAGCTCTCATACATGAGAAGCATCCTGTACTGAGTTGATCAAACACAGGACTAGGTATCTTTCATTTATGCAATTCCTATGTAGGAAAATTCCCAACAGCCCTAGAATTAGACTGGCAGTAAATGCATTAATCTCAGAAACCTGCCCATTCCAGAGCTCTTTGAACTAATAGAAGTGCAGATTTGTGACTGGGGTTGGAGGGATTCATTTATAATTGGTAAATGTCAGTAATTGCTCATTTCCTTCCCAACCAAAAACATAACTAAAACATGCCTCACCAATCCAAATATTGCAGAGGGAGGAAGTTAAGAACAAAGTAATTGTACTTATAGATTGTTGTTACGCTCTTTGCTTGTCATATTTGTTTGTCCATCAAGACTGTAGGAAATTCACCTGAAATGTCTGATTATTGAATACCTTTATTATATTTTGGGGGCGAATCTGAGATTCTGCGTTCAACTCTGATTTAAATAACAATGAGCATTTGAGATTTTGAGACTTGATTGAAAATTTCATTCTGATAAAAATTAAAATCCCAGTGAGGAAGATTCCATTCTGAGGAACTAAATATTTATATTATTCTATGCTTTAAAATCAAATCACTCCAAGTCTAATTTAGGTTGGAATTGGAGAGAAACTAAGTTGTCTCCTCTTTTGATTTAGGAAGCTTAGATTAGCCATCAGACTGAAGCAATACTCAATGTCTTTCTGTTTTTCAGGATACCTCCATAATTATTTTGGGAATTACTACCTTGCCTTTTACCTTGCTGGAGTTCCCCCAATTATTGGGGGTCTGGTCCTGTCTGTTGTTCCTCTGATCCATCAAAGAATGCTCAAGAAGCAGCAGATGGATTCTGGCAAAGACAAGATGTTGGTCTTAGATACAGTCATAAACGGAGAGCTTCTTCCGGGCTGTCCTTCCACTGAGGCACACGTATAAAGCCTTTTCCCGTTCAGCCATACACACACCAATACACACAGATGTGTTATCACCACCAGCATCTTCTCCCCTGACTAAGCATGGGCCTTTTTAAAAATGGAGCAGGAGCCAGTGTTCCCTCTAATCTTTTCAATCTTGTGTAGAATAAATGTGTATGTGCACTGTGCACTGAGGCATGTACCAAATGTGTACCACCAATAGAAACAAAAACCCTATCTATGGGCATTCTGCTAATCAGCTGGATGGCACATGACTCTCTTCTGAGTGGCCACACAAGTGCACAGCTTACAGGAAACATTGAGCGGGACCCTCCCAAACTGCAGACGAGTGGCACCAAATGGATAATGAAGAAAGTTCTAGTTCCAAGCATTAGCTACCGGCGCCATTTTTCAGAATGTTTTGAATTGAAAGTTGTGTCTTTCACCAGCATTTTTCTAACACGAATTCTCACTAGAACTCCAACTCCCGTTTGCTCCTCCCCCAGTTTTCTGTTTGTCACAGCAGTGGTTGACCGCTGATTAGGCTGCTGGTGGAACATGTTAACCTTTTGATTGTAGTTTCAGATCCATCCCATCACGCAGGATTGTCAGTGATGCTTGAATGTGTTGCCTTGGAGGGGGATTCCGCTCCATGCCCCCACCGTGTAATCGGCAATTCACAAATTCTTAGCCTGCTTTTGGATCCCATGTGAAGGCAAAAGAATTCCAGTGGGGGGAACCTTTGTCTCTTTTGTAAGAGTGTTCTGTGTTTCCCTGTCCTCCAAAGAATCTATTCCTGAAGCTGTTGGTATGCTTTTATGGACTACCAGTTCATCGTGGTAGCACGGTCTGCCAGCAGACTCACATTCCTGCCACTCTCCCCTCAATGTCCCATGTTAATGTACATCAAGAGGGGAACAGCCCCTTGCTATCTAATCTGATACCCAAATTAGCTGTAGACAGTGAAGGTAAGTTAATGCATTGGCTACTTCAGATATGAGTTTCACTGGTCTCAGTACTCCCACCTTTCCATCCCTTCTTGGAGAATGCTTCATTGCAATGGAAAAGTGCTTCTCACCACTGGCTATGGCTCAGTGTGTCACTGATCCCCCACCAATGGTTAGGGCATTGGGTCACTGCAGAAAAAAGAGGGGGCAGAGAAAACAGAAGAACGGAAAAGGGAAGAAAAAATAATAATAATTGGCTTTGCTCAGCTACTACTGATGGCCAGCAGTGTTCCCTCTAAGCTGTGGGGCATCACAGCTTCACAGGTGATTAAGCAGCCCCGCCATGTCAGTCAGCTCCATGCAGGAGCCTTGAACCTCTGAGGGGGTGGGGATGATTAATCACCTGTGAAGCTCTGCTGCCCTGCAGCTTAGAGGAAACAGTAATGGCCATTCCTTCAAGGTTACTGTTCTGAAATCCAGTGGTTCCTCTGTCATTCATCTGTGTTTTATCAACTAGTCCTTAAATTAGTAGGCGTCCAAGCCATCCATTGTAAGGTGAATAAACAATGGCTAACTTAGGATGCTATAATCATTAAAATGCTAAATTTGCAAGGCAATGAAATTACAAACATTGACTCCTCCAAAGAGGAACAGTTAGTTGGAGTGGAGTCCTGACGTTTACACAAGTCAGCATTGACCTGAGCCATTCCAGCTGGTTAACTTCTCTGCAGAATGTGGGCTGGTTTTTGCTCTGAATTCTGAATTCCCTAATGTACCCCTAGGGCTGTCCCAACATGTGCCATGTGAGCAGAGGGGTAATGCACAGTCATGCAGATGAACCCTCATGTGCCAGCGCTGTATTTTCATCAATAATCAACGTGTCAATGTTACAGGAGCTGTGGGAAAAGGCTGAACATTTTTTGTAAAAGCCACATGGTTCCTTTTTTAAAATAAAAAAACAGTCTGCTGCAGTATTTAACTCTGTGTCTATGCAGGAGCCCTGCAGTGGGCCACAACGAGAGGTCAGCTAAGGAGGAGCAAGGATTGTACAGAGGCCAGTGGTTGAGCTGGCTGGGTGTATTTCCAAAGGATTTCCATTGTGAGAGGGAAGAGTTCTCTCTTGACGCCACTGATGCAGTATTTGTGTGCTGTGAACTGCTCTCTGTTTGATGTAGGAAGAGTAGTGTCAGCTATCCAGCTGGATCATTGCAAATCAAAGTCACCTGCAAGGCCTCGGTGACTTCTGTCCCCCTATGAGCCAACAGAGAGAAAGCAAAATAGAGAAAATATGCAGAAATAAAGAACTCGGATTGCATTGAATCGAGTTCATTAAATCAAAGCCTTCAGTACATCTTGATCTCAGAGAGAAAGGTCAATAAAAATAAATGTGGTAGAAGCAAATTCACAGCATCGAATGAAGGTAAAACTCAGCACGGGTGTTGCCAGAAGCAAGTTCTCACCAGGCATGGGTGGTAAATATAGTATGTGGCTGGAAAGAAAGTGAGCTTTCGCAACTCCAGGCTTATGAAACCAGTAAGCTGCTTGTTAAGCCAGAGTACTGAGGTTCCCTGCAGATCTACCTCCAGTGGGAACCCTGATTATCTCCTAGGAAATCTGTGGGGCAAAAATGATTTGTCTAAGTTTCTATGTCCACAATACAGTAATTCAGTAGAGAGATAGAGAAATTGCTGGCCAAAAATGGATAAATTGAGTCCTACACATGAAGTGATTGTACATCTAAAACATTTTTACAAGCTATGGACTTAAAAAGCTACTATTAAAAATGTTAACAGTGAAAACTTAACAGATAGACGTCTTATGATAACCTTTCTTGTTTCTTATTGTGAATGCAGATATGTGTAATCCCATGACGAAAACTGAGCCATAAACTTATTTCCAATCCATGCCTACAAGTCCTGTTGATGTTTGCATTGGTGGGAGTTTGGCATTGGACTGACAGCTCTGTTTGCTTTTACCAGTGTTGCCTATATAAGCTAAAGTCGTGTGTTCTGATCCTTTGGAAATTTCAGTCCCTGTAATATCTGGAGAAGTAAATGGTATTTTGTAGCACTTATGACTTAACCTAAACAAGATGTGTGTCTTTGCCCCCTTTCCTCAAAAGAGATGCATGCTTTTCTGTGACCTTTTTTACTGTTATTCAACTCACAGATTCTAACATATGAAACAAATGTGCGATTTCTTATTTTGTGGCATCTGAAGCAGGCAACACAGCAAGACTGGTCACATATCAGAGCCAAGGGAAGTTACATCACCTGGATAAATGTTTGTTGAACAGGTTGTACTTCGTATCAGTGCCTTGATATGGGCCAGATTGTGATGACCTTGCTCTACTAATAGTCCCATCAAACTCAGTGGGATTTTATACTTTATTCCATTGAAGTCAAAGGGGCCCTTCACAGAGTTCGGTGCTACCAAGCGAGTAAAAGCATCACAATCTGATTGTAAATCCCCCTATTTAGGAGCAGAGGTGAAGAGGACTTTGTATTGCAACTCCCTTTATGTCCTGTGATTTGTGTGTGTGTGTGTGGGCACGATGTCTCTAAATTAGCTGATTCTCAATTTGGAGGCTTTTCTGTGGAAGGGGAGGAGGGGGTTAATTTAAAAAAGGGTCTGTAACTGATGCTCAGTAAGACAAGCAGTGCTGTCTCAACACCAGTTCTGAAACAGATGCATGTTCATAAGCAATTGACTAGACATACTGATATCAAACAATAAGACACACTGTTTTCTGCAGATTAATTCTAAATAGTAATACTTTTCTAACTCCTAGGCGACCAATTACAAATAAATCCAGAATTGTCTCAGAGTTGAATGCCCCAGTGCTCTTCTTATGTGTAAATGTGTCCCACTGGGGGATAATCTACTTTCTGAAAACTCTTAAAGCATAGGGGTGCTTATGTGCTAGAATGTAACAGGACCATGACATTATGATTCATTTCTTCAAGAATAGTGATAGAAATGTAGCTGTGTTAGTCTGGGGTAGCTGAAGCAAAATGCAGGACAATGTAGCACTTTAAAGACTAACAAGATGGTTTATTAGATGATGAGCTTTTGTGGGCCAGATCCACTTCAAGAAGTTACTCTCCCCAGGGCATTGTCTGGGGAGCTAATTTTGTGGTTTCTCCGAAGTACTACCAGGTTCTGGAATTCCTAGTGGGACAGAATTCCTGTTTGAAGTCAGACTTGCCACAGTAAAAACTATAGGATGCAGTATGACTTGATGGATCCTCTTGTTCAGGGTGAAGTCATACTCCAGCTGACAGCAAAGACTTGATCCTGGCCTGTCAGTTGTTCTGCAGTCATTACTCTGCAAGAGTGGCAGCGAGTGTGCCTCCCTGTTTATTTTTTCTCATCAGTAGATACTTGTATTCAATTATTTTGTCTCTGAATCAGATACGTGAATCGGGTCATATCAGTGTGAGAGCAGAGGCCATCGCCATGACAGCTTGAAGTATCTATTTCCTGTTCCGTTTGGGGTGAGGAGTTTGCTTGTGAAAGTCTCTCTAGCACCAAAGCAGTATTGACCTTTGAGTATTAAGTGATAGTGCTCAGGCTGCAGTTAATGAAATTATCTTCTCTTTCAGAGATAAGACCATGGGAAAATCAAGTGGTGGGGGGAGGAGGCTGAATCATGTGTCACAACAAAGAGAGAGAAAGAGATGAAGGCCACTTCATAAGCCTGAATTACTGTATGTCAGAATAGAACCAGGCCCATGAATGGGAAGGCTCAAGTTTTCTTTTTAAAATCTGGGGGTTTACCATTTGTATGTGACTTGTCTGTCCTGGTTTGCTGAACTCCATAATTAAAAAGCAGTTATTTTTAGAACTGATAAATCTTGAATAAAGGTTTCTACATAAGAGAAACCATTTCAGCATCAATGATATTGAGGTGTTATGTTCATTCAGATGTTTTTGAGGCTTAATTTACGCAAAGCACAAATTAAAAAATTCAGTTCAATAAGCCGCTTTTTGAAAACTGCCTGGGGGTGAAATCTATCCATTACACTGCATGGGTTCCCAAACTGGGGGGATGTGCCCCCCTGGGGGGACGTAAAGAAATTCTGGGGGGGGGGGCGTGAGGCAACTCAGCCCCCCCCCCATTAAGTTTTGCTGCCCTGTTCAGTTTTGCTGCTATTTGGAAGGGGGGGCATGAGAGTTTTTCAAAAATCTAAAAGGGGGGTGTGATGCCAAAAAGTTTGGGAACCATTGGTTTACAGGATGCTGTGACACTTCATATAAGAGCTTTAGAATGTATGAAGTCTTCCAAAGGCCTTCTGTGCTGGGCTGGATTTCATCTTCAGTGTGAACCAGTGGGTACGAATGTCGCCATCCTACGATAACCCTTCATGAAGTTTTTAGAGCCATCTCATTTCCGAAACAACAAGGTGTCCTGTGGCACCTTCTGTACTAACAGATACAGACTAACACGGCTACCCTTAGGCATGTGTACACTGGGAAATTATTTCAAAATAAATTATTTTGAAATAATAACTCCCAAAATAACTATTTCAAAATAGCCTGTCCCCATGACAGGGAAACCTCGAAATTAGTCTGAGGCAGGCTCCTGTAATGTGGATACACTGCCTCGACTTAGAGCCCCAGGAAGCACTGAGGAGTAATTATTTTGAATGATTCTGGTGAGTAGTTATTTCGAAATTAGCAGCAGTGGAGCATCCACACTACAGTTGTTTCATGAAGGAGTCAAATTCTGCTCTCAGTTACTGCTGTGGTGTTACGAGTGTGAAAGTGAGTCATGAGGGGTATGGCTACAATGCCGCTTTTTTTTAATCTTTTTGTCAGAAGAGGCTTTTCCGACATTTGGCCCGTCTAGGGAAAAAAACCTCTTTTGGAAGCCCCCTTATTCCTCGTAGAACAAGGAATACAGGGGCTACCGAAAAAGCAGATATGCTTTTCTGGAAAAAAAAAATGGAAGAGCAAACGCGTCCCTGGACGCAGAAGAGTTTTTCTGGGATACCTCTGGTATCCTGGAAAAACTTTTGTAGTCTAGCCTACCCTAAGATTGGATCATAACAACAAAGCAGAAAAGGATCCAATCAGTCTATCTTGGTAAGTGTCAAGTACATAATGGTGCTTACAGCTGCCTGATTTACGTATCAGTATCTTATACAAACCTGTCAAGCTGCCTATGTTGTGGCTTGTGTACTTGGAGTTTGACAAATTTACCCCGAGGATGCAGTTTGATTCTTGCTGCTCTGCGCTCTGCCTGACTTGGTCAGACTGAACGTTGCCACTGACGTGCCTCAGAATAACCATGTGCTAAGCTAAAACCTCTGAACTAGGAGTTCGGCACTTCATTTTTGGCCTGTAATCTCTCTTGGACAAAATCATAACACTAACTTAGGAACAGTTCAGAACCAAAATTAATACTTTGTATTGCATTACTTGATTCTTAGCTTCACTAGTTTTCACTGGGGCAGAGTGAACTTTCCTCGTCTAACTGGAAATGGAAAATATGAATAGGCTTAAAAAGCTGAAGACATTCCTCAAGCAAATCAGCCCCTCCTGTCTTTTCCCCCATCTTATCAGCATTCATTCACTGGAGCTCTTGCATTTCCCTCAAAAACACTTGATTTCAGAAATGCCAGTTGCTGAGTCCCTGAGCCAACAGACCAGAGAGCACACATTCACTCATTGGTAATCCCTTATTCGAGGATGATCTCTACCATCGATTTACATTTGGAGCCTGGAACCACAATTCCACCTGCAGTAGGTACAGACATTTTGTGACAGGCCAGCTGCCTGCTAAGAGAAAGTTCTTTATTTTTTCCTTCCTTCCTTCCTTCCTTCCTTCCTTCCTTCCTTCTCTCTCTCTCTCTCTCTCTCTCTCTCTCTCTTTTTAAACTTCCAAGGACAGAACAGTACTAGACCATGACAATTAAACCATATAAGGTGGTTTCATACATTATTTCCAGAGAAACCCACTCAGAATTGGGTTACAGGGAAACTTCATTTATAAAAAAAAACCAAAAGGACAATCTTAAATTATCCCAGTGCATAATAGAGCAAACATCCCTCTATAGCAGGGCTACTCAATTTTAGAAGCCCCGGGGTCCACAATGATACAACACATGCTGAGGGCCACAACTTAAATGTGGTTGCGTAAACATACAAATATATAGGCAAATATATGCAAATAGCTTCTTTCACAGTGACAGGCATGAATACAAAGATTAAGCCTTAAACTGTGGTGCCAGATCCAAATGTGGCCAGTGTGAACCTCTCAGGCTCTGCCCACAAGGCTAAGCAGCCAGCACTTCCCACAATGCCCTGGCACCTCCTCTCTGAGGGCTAGAAACGCGGACACTCTGTACCCGTCTGTTCCAGCCAGCCCTTCCGCTTGCCGCCTTTCAATGCTCACCGCCCCAGGAGAGACCTCACCATTGTGGAGCATGCTCCCAATGGAGGTCATGTTCAAAGAATCCCAACTGCAGGCTGCATGTTGAGCCCCACGTAAACCCAAACTGTACTGTGGGCCGCAAACAAACGGGTCACGTTTTGAGTAGCCCTGCTCTATAGTGACATTATGCAGTGGAGAAAAGATTTTGAGTATCAGAAAGTGCCTCTCTAATTAATCAACCAGAGCCTGTGACATGGTTTGCATCCTGCCTTGAGGAATTAACTTCGTACATGGACATCCCAGCACATCTTTGGGAGCAGAGCATTCTTTTAGCTCAGTGGTGGGCAACCTGCAGGCTACATGTGGCCCATTAGGGTTCTATGTGTGGCCTATGAGATGTTTACCGTGGCCTATAAACAGGGTTGCCAAATTCTGCTGGTTTCTATCTGGTTTCCCTACTGGTATTACTAAAGTGACATGCACATGAAGTGAGGCACGCACTGATTGCACTCTGACAGAGAGCTGTGAGCTCCCTCTGTATCCAATAAGAGTGCTGCTGTGGTTCATTCGGCATACCCTGCAAATTCTAGGTATGCAATCACAGTTAGCAAAACTACGCTATCCAGGGAGACTGCCTTGATTACAACAATCTTGTGGCCCCCTGAGATGAGATTTGGCCACATGAGTGGCCCTCCTTGTCTAGGTTGCCTATCACTGTGTTAGGTTCATCTTTTATTGAGTTAATGGATTTGCCTCCCATTAATCAGCATCGCTGACATGCTGTCCTGATGGCATTTGTGTTCTTGAAACAGCAGTCATGCTTCTGCAGTGTGTTTCTCCTTGTGGAGTCTCACCTGTTCCAAGTTGGTGTCAGACGCCACTCTTTTCATTGGGTGGCATTTGTGCAAATGGTATTATGAGTTGCAAAACAGTACCCCAATGCCTTTTGTTCTAGTGACATTGAAATAATCCCTCATGACCCATGTAATTTTTTGTAAATAATGTTGAAATTGTTTTACTGTTACCGACATGTACTCTGAGTCTCCAAACAGCAGAAACACAAACTCTAACCACACTTTGTCCTTTGCTTTGAAGATTTTGCAGCCTTCTAGTCAGTCTTATGAAATGGAGTCATCTGTGAAATAAATGTTTTTAAAAAGATACTCTGTGCTCTTTGTTTACCATTCAGTAACCTAATAGTAGCCCACCAGCTCCATTTACCTCTGACTCACAAAGAGTTTTCTGAATCAAAGTGCTTTTCCCTTCAAGGGTACGTAGCTGTAGACAAAACATCTGCATTACTAATTGCAAATGCAGGACCTATAGAGTGTGCT